ACTCGCCACCCCACACCACGAGCGTATCTTCCAGCAGTCCTCGTTGTTCGAGGTCGTTCAACAAAGCCACGGCCGGCTGATCGGTTTCTCGGCACACCTTATCCAACGAGTCGCCCAGGTCGGTGCCTTTGTTGCCGTGATGATCCCAGTCGGTGTGATAAAGCGTGACGAAACGCACTCCCCGTTCGACCAACCTTCGGGCCAGCAGACAATTGTTGGCGAACGAACGTTCCCCCGGCTTGGCCCCGTAGGCTTCGAGCGTTTCGGCCGTTTCATCTGAAAGGTCGATCAGTTCCGGAGCGCTGGCTTGCATGCGGTAAGCCATCTCGTAGCTGGAAATGCGGGCTGCAATCTCGTCGTCTCCCACTTGCTTCAGCCGGGCATTGTTCATGTCGCCAATGGCGTCGATGGTCCGTCGTTGTGTGGCCGCATCGATTCCCTCGGGTGAAGACAAGTTTAGAATTGGTTCACCACCGGACCTTAGCGGAACTCCCTGATACTGGCTCGAGAGGAACCCGCTACCGTAGTTGTGCGTTCCGCCGCGTGGGCCTCGCGGGCCAGATTGCAGAACAACAAAGCCCGGCAAATCTTGCGATTCGCTGCCAATTCCATAAGTGACCCAGGCACCCATGCTGGGGCGGCCGTAGTGGGGCGAACCAGTGTTGAAGAACAGTTTCGCCGGTCCATGGTTAAACACATCGGTGGCCATCGTTTTGATGAACGCCACCTTGTCACAAATGCTGGCCAGGTGGGGCATGCATTCGGAAATCTCTGTGCCGGTTTCCCCGTGCTGAGCGAACTTTCGCCGGGTGCCCAACAGTTTGGGGTCGGCCTTGAGGAATGCGAAACGCTTGTTCTCGATGATCGATTCCGGGATCGATTCGCCGTTGAGTTCCTGCAGTTTCGGCTTGTAATCGAACAGCTCCAACTGGCTGGGGGCGCCAGCCATGAACAAGTGGATCACCCGTTTCGCTTTGGGAGCGAAATGTGGCGGACGGGGCGCGAGGGGATTTATCGCTTGGGCCGCCGGCGATTCAGCAGCCAGTAGTCCGTCGCGGGCCATAAGTTGACCCAGCGCGATGGAGCCCATCGACAGTCCGCAACTGGCGAAGAAGTGACGCCGTGCAAGACGTCTCTGTTCGGCGTTGTGTTCGTGCGGAACTTGCGACATGAATTGATTCCTACTCGCGGGTAATGAATTCGTCGAGATTCAGCATCACTCGGGCCAGCGTTGTCCAGGGGGCCGTTTTGGTTTCGGCTTCGCGCTCGACCGTCAGCACTTCCAAGAGTCGCTGCAATTCGTATTCGCTGGGCTCTCGGGCTAGGCACAACTGCACCGCATACCTCACACGCTCTTCATCGCTCTCCGCGTTACACGATGCCAAATGGTCACCCAAAGATTTTGCGCATTCGACAAACGACTCGTCGTTGAGCAGCGTCAGTGCCTGTAGTGGCGTATTCGATTGGTACCTTCGCGTGCACGTGGTGTTCGAATCGGGGGCGTCGAAGGTCTTCAAGAACGGGTGCGGTGTCGAACGCCAGAAGAAGGTGTAAAGCCCGCGTCGATAGCGATCCTCGCCGGAGCTGACCTCCCAGGGGCGTTCTACTTGGGCTAGCCGCATGACGCCGGCGGGCTGATAAGGGAATACACTGGGGCCACCGATCTTGCGGCTCAAGAGACCGCTGACGGCCAGGGCGTTGTCACGGATCACTTCGGCCTCAAATCGACGGCGCGACTGTCGGGCCAGCAGGATGTTGTCGGGATCGGCGGTTTCTAAGTCTTCTCGATCATTGGACGACTGACGATAAGTGGCCGAAGTGACGATCAAGCGATGCATCGTCTTCAGGCTCCACTGATTCTCGATGAAGGAACTGGCAAGCCAATCCAAGAGTTCCGGGTGCGAGGGCGGGCTCCCCTGCGTGCCAAAATCGTTTTCTGTGTCGACCAGCCCTCGCCCGAAATAACGCTGCCACACACGGTTCATCGTCACGCGAGAGGTGAGAGGATTCCGCGGGGCGACGAGCCACTCGGCGAGTACCAGTCTGCTGTCTGCTTCTTCCTCACCAGTCTCGACGAGCGGTGGTAATACTTCTGGAACATCGGCGCTGACCTCGGCACCATGCCGGAGGAAATCACCCCGCACATGCACGTGGGTTACCCGCGGCTGGGTTCTCGCTCGCAGAACCATCGTCGTAGGAGGATTTGGCAGCTGTTTCTTCAGCGCATCCAGTTGCTTCGATAGTTGCTGGTGGTTCGCATCGGTCGAGAGTTGTGCCGACTTAACGGCTTGTTGTTGCTTCTTGTCACGCTCTTCAGGTGTAATTTTCAATGCCGCCTGAACCTCAGGGGAGAGCTTCTTGCGTTGCTCTTCTGTCAGGCTGGCCTCCCATTCAGTTTGAGCGGCCTTCAGCTCTTTATCACGAGCGTTCAATTCTCCCGTGAGCGCACGAATCTGAGGTTTCAGTTGCTCGGCGAGTGCTTCTTGCTCGGGCGAAGGGACATCGATGTTCGGTTCGTCATCGTTGTTCATGAACGCGAACAATCGATAGAAATCTCGCTGTGAGATGGGATCGAATTTGTGGTCGTGGCAGCGAGCGCAGGCGACGGTCAGTCCGAGGTAGACGGTGCCAATCGTGGAAACGCGGTCGACGACGGCTTCAACGCGGAATTGCTCATCGTCGGTGCCCCCTTCCTGATTCACTAGGGTGTTGCGATGAAATCCGGTGGCGACGGTTGCAGACAATGGGGCATCAGGAAGCAAGTCGCCGGCCATTTGTTTAATGGTGAACTCATCGAACGGCATGTCGGCGTTCAATGCACTGATCACCCAATCGCGATACATCCAAATCGAGCGTGGACCGTCGATGGTGTAGCCGTGCGAATCGGCATAGCGGGCCGCATCCAGCCAGTGCCGGCCCCAGCGTTCGCCGTAGTGGGGTGAGTCGAGCATGCGATCGATCAGGCGGTCGTACGCGTCGGATGAGATGTCGTTGCAAAAACGTTCGACCTCCTCCGGTGAAGGCGGCAACCCGCGAAGATCGAAGCTCAGCCGACGGATTAGCGTGGTTCGCGAGGCCTCCGGCGAAGGTTCGATGCCCTCTGCTTCCAAGCGGGCCAGAATGAAGGCATCGATCGGGTTGCGTGGCCATTCCGCGTGCTTCACTTGCGGGGTCAGCGGACGAATGATCGGTTGAAACGACCAGTGGTCGCTTGTTCGGCGGTTTGAGTTGGCAGTGATCGAATCGTCTGGGCCGGAAGCTCCTTCAGTGATCCATGTGCGAATCAGGTCGATGTCAGAATCATCGAGCGGTTCCGCGTAATCTGCTGGAGGCATCCGTGGCGTTTCATGTTCGCCCAGAAGCGCGTGGAGTAGTACACTCTCCTCTGGCTTGGTTGCGACTATGGAAGAGCCGCGATTTCCGCCGCGAAGCAGGGCGGTGCGGGTGTCGAGACGCAAGCCTGATGACTGTTCGTCTGCGCCGTGGCAGTCGTAACAGTTGGCCTCGAGGATTGGTTGAATGTCCCGCTGAAAGTCGACCGTAAGCGATGGATCTGCGGCCGAGACATGGGTCCTTGGAAGACTGCACAAGATCCCCACGACGATGCAGCCAAGCATGGCGATGCGCGTAGAACGTGGGGGCATGATAGAACCGAATCGATCGAGTAAGGTGGGCCTGCGGGTGGCGGGATGTAACGCGAGAGGATGCACTGAAGCTGTGCAAACAGCCACGGGAGAGCCTCCACGCCAACTCCCGTATCATAGTCGATTCTCGCGCTGGTCTTCAAGAAAATGCAAACCTGAGAGCACGGAAAATGCCTAAACCAGGGCTTACAAGTGAACATTGTCGTTTACGGCAAAAACGCCTGCTCGAGGTCATGCGGCGGCTCAACGTCGACTTGGCCATCCTCGTCCGGCACGAGCATATTCAATGGCTGGCCGGGTCGTACGTTCCGCGGTTGTTTAGTGTTGCGGTGGCGCTCGATGCAGATGGCCGCTGTACGGCAGTGCTGCCCAGCGAGGGAGTGGCCGATCCGGTCGGAGCAGATGAAGTCGCTAGATACGATGCTCAGTGGTTAGCCACACTGAGGAATGATCAACCGGAGGCGGTGGCGAAGTCTCTATTCGAGGCGTTCGATCCGGCTGCGTTACGCGCGGTGAAAAGAGTGGGCGTTGAATTCGCCTCATGCGGACCCTATCTCACCCAGGTGGTCGACGCCGATCTGGTCGATCTCGAGCAGGAGATGTTCACCCTGCGGCGGCGAAAAGATCCTGATGAGTTGAATTGTATTCGCTTCGCCATTGCTGCCACCGAAGCGATGTACGAGCGGGCGCGTGAAGTGATTCGGCCTGGGGTGAATGAATTGGAAGTCTTCAATCAACTGCAAGCTGCGGCGGTTGAGACGCTGGGCGAAGTGCCCACGGCGAATGGGAACGACTTTGCGTGTGGTGTACCTGGAGGGCCGGCTCGCAATCGGGCAATTGAAGATGGCGAGTTGTACATCTTGGATTTGGGCCCGGCTTATCGCGGGTACTATGCCGACAACTGTCGGGCGATCGCTGTGAACGGCGAGCCAACAGCGCTGCAGCAACAGGCATGGCAGCAGATTGCCGAGGTGTTCCCAATGATTGAGCGGGAAGTGCGACCGGGAGTGAGTTGCCGCGAGATTTACCAGAAGGTTTTGGATCGAATGGAAAAGTATCTTCCCGGTGGCTTCTCGCATCACCTGGGGCACGGCATTGGGCTGTATCCGCACGAAGCCCCACACTTGAACCCGAATTGGGACGATCGCTTCGAAGAGGGCGATGTGTTCACCGTCGAGCCCGGTCTATATAGCGACGAGTTGCGCGGCGGGATACGCCTGGAAAACAACTACCGCGTGACGTCAGACGGTGTGGAGTTGCTGACCGACTTCTCGCTGTCGCTCTGAAATCGACTGGAGACAACGCGGCTAGGCAACTTTGTTGTCGATCGCTCCGGCCGCCTTGGCATCCCAGACTTCAGTCCATACACAGCCTGACCACGAGTAGCCAACACCATAGCCGACCATCATCGATCGGGTGCCGGGCCGCAGGCGACCGCTGTTGCGTAATTCGTGCATGGCAATGGGGATAGTGGAGGAGACCGTATTACCGACCTCTTCCAGCACAGTGGGTAATTGCAGGGCATCGACCTTCAGTCGATCTCGCAGATGGTCCAGCACGACGTGCGTGGCTTGGTGCATGAGGTACATGTCGATGGCATCGCTGTCTAAGCCGGAACGCTTGAGTACGTCTTCAACCATGGGCGGGATGCGTTCCAGGGTGAAATGCACCAGGTCCGGCCCATCCATGTAGAGATCGCTCTCCCAGCGTTTTCGCTTTCGAGGCCGGAGGGCATGCTGCGGGGGACGGGCGCCACCGTTGGTGACCATCAGGGCATCGGCCCCTCGCCCGTCGGTACCGAACGAGAAACCATCGAGAGTGGGCGTGGTGCCCGCTTCGATCAACGTGGCCGCGGCTCCGTCGCCGAAAATTGGCCGTAGCGAGCGGTCCTCGGGCGAGATGTATTTGGAATAGGTTTCGGCCGTGACGAGCAACACCCGTTCCGCGGCTCCACTGCGGATGAGTCCATCGGCCATCGACAGCCCGTAGACGAAACCCGAGCAGCCGAGATTGAAGTCCAGGGCCCCAATCGAAGTCGGTAGCCCGAGCCGATCCTGCATGAGGCAGGCCGTGGTGGGCAGAGGGTAGTCTGGGGTTTGGGTGCAGAGCAGCAGGAAGTCGATCGAATCGCGGTCGATTTGGTGCTCTTGGAACAACCGCTCGCAAGCCGCGACGCCCAGGTCCGAGGCACATTCGTCTTCGCTAGCAATGTGCCGCTTACGGATGCCGGTCTTCTCGTAGATCAAGTCCATGTTCCACTTGGGGAACTCGCGACGGAGTTGATCGTTTGTCTCGACCTTCTCTGGTAGGTAGACCGAGATCGGTCCAATGGAGGCGAATTTCATGGTCTTTGCAGCACCCTTCGCAGGTGAGCACGGCCGGGTAAGCGGCACGAATCGATGAATCGCTGAGGGGTTACGACGCCCCCTGCGGACGGCCGTTCATGTTGCTACGGCCACACGCTTGCGGACTACCTATGAAAGCGTAGGAAAAGTATCAGACGCTACACGAGGGGGTCAATTCCAGTCGAATCGAACTACCCTCCAGAATACCGTATTCCCCCTGTGTTACCAGCCCAGCGGTTGGCGGGCTCGCCGCTCACCCGGTTGACGAGGAACGTTGTTTCGGGCCCCCGGGGCCGTATAAGTCCCGCCCGATGCCTGCGGGCTGACCCGCTGCTGGGCCGGTGGTGAATCGTATGCCTGTCTCAGTCGGCTGGAGTAGCCCAGGATTGAGGAATTGAAATTAAATTGGCTGATGGAAAGGGGTTCTTGCACCAGCGGAGGGATCACCATGGCGTCGAGCTGTAGTGGCCTGGAATTCAGTCGCGGAATCTGCAGATAGTCGCGTGGAAGTGGATCTCGCGACAGGGGCTGAATTCGCAGCGGCTCAACGTTTAAGTACTGCTGTGGCAGGGGGTTAATCGGAAGAGGGCTGATCCGCATCGGCGGGGGAGCGACGTTCGATTTGGGGATCGATCGAAACTGAATTGGCGTCAGTCGAAGCCGATCTGGTGAAGTGCTTTCGAACAGAGGCGACTGAACCGGAATTGTCGCGTCGCGGAGCACCTGCGCACAGAGACTCCCCGGCGAGAGTGTCGCCAGATAGCTGAAGCTGATCGCAAAGATGAACCCAAGACCGCGCATCGAGCACCCCGAAGCGGCAGAAAACCACCATTCAGGGCGATTATCGTTCCCTCGCAATGCCGACCTTGAGGAAACGCAGGTGCTACGCGAACTTGCGCGAAGAAACGTTGGCGGTCTTACCGGCTAAGCAGTTCAGGTCGATCCAGGAGGTCAAGCAGGTACTGCCCATAGCTATTCCGCATGGAGGTGGCCAGCTTGCGGAGTTCATCCTCGGAGATGAAGCCCTTGAGCAGGGCGATCTCTTCCAGGCAGGCGACCTTCAGGCCCTGCCGCTGCTCGATTGCTTCGATGAAGTTGGCCGCTTGCAGCAACGACTCGGGCGTGCCAGTGTCCAGCCAGGCGAAGCCGCGCGAGAAGCGTTCGACTCGAAGTTGATCGCGATTGAGATATTCGCGATTGACGTCGGTGATTTCCAGTTCACCTCGAGGTGAAGGTTTCAAATTCGCCGCGATGTCGACGACCTGATTGTCGTAGAAATAGAGCCCGGTGACGGCCAGGTTCGAACGCGGCTTGGCTGGCTTTTCTTCCAGTGAGAGTGCCTTTCCGTCGGAGCCCATTTCGACCACACCGTATCGTTCGGGGTCTTTGACCCCATAGGCGAACACGGTGGCACCTTCGGCGTGCGATGCGGCCCGGGCCAGCATTTGTTGGAAGCCTTGCCCGTAGAAAATGTTATCGCCGAGCACGAGTGCGACGTGATCGTCGCCAACGAACTCGCGACCAATGATAAACGCCTGAGCGAGCCCCTCGGGTTTGGGTTGCACGGCGTATTGAATGTGGATTCCTAGCGATTGCCCATCACCCAGCAGGCGTTTGAAGGAATCGATGTCGGCGGGGGTCGAGATGAGCAAAATCTCGCGGATGCCGGCTAGCATCAGCGCGGAGATCGGGTAGTAGACCATCGGCTTGTCGTAGATCGGCAACAACTGCTTGCTGGTTGCCAGCGTGATGGGGTGCAGGCGTGTTCCGGATCCTCCCGCGAGCACGATGCCCTTGTTCACCTTCTGCGGTTGCGATTTCGCCGTGGCCATGGAGTCCTAGCTGTGTGAGTGAAGGTTTTGGAATTGATAGTTAGTGGATTCGATGGCCTAGCTGAGCCAGTTGACATTGAAGCACCCAAAGCAAGGTTACTTCGCATCGGCCGAAAGCCCCAACCGCTCCCGACGGTAGACGCCGGAAGTTACGCGATCGATCCAGCGCGTGTTTTCCAGGTACCAGTCGATGGTGCGTTGCATACCCGTATCGAAGCTTTCTTGGGGAGCCCAGCCTAATTCGCCTTTAATCTTCGAAGCGTCAATCGCATACCGCCGATCGTGCCCAGGGCGGTCGGTCACGCGAGTAATCAGCGACTTGCAAGGTACATGGGGCAACTCGGGTTTCAGCCGATCGATCGTGTCGCAGATGGTGTGTACAACGTCGAGGTTCGCCCGTTCTGAATCCCCCCCCACGTTGTAAACTTCGCCGTGCTGACCTCCGTCGAGCACAGCACGAATGGCCCGGCAGTGATCTTCGACATACAGCCAATCACGGATCTGCTGTCCATCGCCGTACACGGGAAGCGGTTTGCCCTCAATGGCGTTGAGAATCATCAGCGGGATGAGTTTCTCAGGGAACTGGTAGGGGCCGTAATTGTTCGAGCAGTTCGTGGTCAGTGTGGGCAGGCCGTAAGTGTGGTGATACGCCCGCACGAAGTGGTCGGCCGAAGCCTTTGAAGCCGAGTAGGGTGAGTTGGGAGCGTACGAGGTGGTCTCCTTGAACTTTCCTTCGGCGCCTAGCGAACCGTAAACCTCGTCGGTCGAAACATGCAGAAAGCGGAAGGCGTCTTTCTCGGCCGTGGGCAGTTCGCCCCAATACTTGCGGGCGGCTTCCAAGAGATGGAATGTGCCGAGCACGTTGGTTTCTACGAACTGGGCCGGACCGTCGATCGAGCGATCGACATGCGATTCGGCGGCGAAGTTCACAATCGCGAAGGGCCGATAGTCGGCCAGCAGATTGTCGACGGTTTCGCGACAGCCGATATCCCCGTGTACGAAAATGTGTTCGTCGTTGCCTTCTAACGACTCCAGCGAGTCGAGATTGCCTGCGTAGGTCAGCTTGTCCAAGTTGACAACACGGAAGTCGCCCTGACCGACGGTCATTCGCACGAAACAGCTTCCGATAAATCCCGCTCCGCCTGTTACCAAGATTGTCTGCATCGTGTTTTCCGTTACAGGAAGGTGCTTGTGTGACGAGAGCCCGCTGCTGCTAGCTACGCTTCATTGGGTCTGCGAGATCGGCAGAACCTGGGCAAAACTGGTCGCAGGTATCGAGAATATAGCGTACGGCCCCGTTTCCGGCACCTTCGATTGGTATGGCATCAGGACGGCGAAAAATCGGCTCGATTTCGCAGGGGCATCTGACCGAAAAAATTCAAATACGTTCCACATATCCGAAATCTAGCGAATACGACGGATTGGCCGCGATGGGCGTCAAATATCTCTATCTTGCCTATCTTTCGCGTCCGGCTTCCGATCGGGTGCTCTACAAGCTGATTCGGCGGTACCGCTGCCGGGTATTGCTCGAGATTGGTATGGGGCTCGGAGAACGAGCGACGCGGATGATCGACGTTGCCTTGAGTCGGTCGAGCGAGGTTGAGTACATCGGTGTCGACCTTTTCGAAGCCCGCGGCGATGAGGACGGGCCCGGTCGATCGTTAAAAGAGATGCACCGGCGATTGGCCTCCAGCGGGGCGAAGGTGCGATTGATTCCCGGCGACCCTCACATGGCCTTGGCCCGTTCGGCAAATCAAATCGGCAATGTTGATCTGCTGGTCATCTCCGACGACATCGATCCCGATGCGATGGATCGAGCGTGGTTCTATGTACCACGGCTGCTGAACGAAGCCACGCAAGTCATGGCCGAGGCTGAGTCGTGCGATGGCGAACTGACCGTCGAACCGGTCGACCGCCGTTTAATTGCGGAATTATCGAGCGTGGCTACGCCCGCTCGGGCCGCATAGCTTGGCTGGGAGTCGTTCGCTTCTAGGCTACAAGTTGAGCAAGAAGCGCACAGACTCGTGACCCTCCGTTCGGAACACACTGCTGAGCATGTCAGGCCAAGTCAGCAGTGGTCCCCACGGTTCAATTACTGGCTTGAGGCGCTCTATTCGGTGACTTCTGCCACTCGCTTCTTGAGTGCTTCCATCACGATCGGTGCGGCCTGAGAGCCGACGCTGTTCTCTTCGCCGTATTGATCGCTGTCGCGACCATAGGCGAACGGTTCGACGACGTCCCACTGGCTAAGTGGAATGATGTAGCCAATTTCATCATTCGCTAGGCCGATGAGCAGGAAACGTTCTTCCGGCAAGATCTCAACTACCGAGGGCTCTTTGGGGGCGTCCTGGAAGTCGGCACCTGGGTCGACCGGATCTTGGATGTCTCCATAGACCAACTCGGGGTAAATCTCCCCGGGGATGCAGGCCACACCGAGTTCACCCAACCGCACGTAGCCCACTTCGGTCTCCAAGGCGGGGTCCTTCTTGGCGTTCTCTTTACTCAATACTTCGCCTAACTCTTCCGAATCGCCCGTCCACACTCGGCCATCGCGTTTCAGCAGGCCCATCATGCGGGCAGTTTGATAGAGCTTGTTCTCCAACGGAACGCTAATCGGCTTGGCCGACACGGTGAAAGGCGTCAGCTTGATGGGGCTCGACTGAGCCAGGGCTTCGTTTGCCAAGTCGCCAACCGCTTGACCGTACAGTTCGGTGAACTCGAAGGTTCCTTCGCCAGGGTATTCGCCTTTGTCGTTAGCGATGCGGTTGTCTCGCGGGGGAGCCATCAGGCCACCCACGGCGCCGGTGATGAGAACCACAGGGCAGTCGAACTTTTCTTGGATGCGTGGGATGGTTGCATAGGGGAAGTCGGCCGAGATGTGTGGGTTGCTTCCGCCCAGGCATTCAGGGTGGCAGTTCCATTGCACCACCACGCCCAGCGGCTTATCGCCGCCGTCGGCCGGCATGAACTTCAACGCGCGGAGAATGCCATCGAACACGTAGGGCTCGCGAGAATCTCGCAGAAGGGTATCGTCTTGCGCGGTGCCATATTCAGCTTTGGCAGGTTTCGCATCGGCATCGGCGTCGCGAATCACCTGAACCATTTTCTCTTCGAGCATCTCCATGTATTTCTTGTCGACGCCGCTTTGGAATGGCGACTGCCCCCAAATGCCAACCACGTCGGGGCCTTCGTGACTGTGGGTGCTGGAAATGGTCACGTACTCGAAGTCTTCGAGCTTTTCACGCACCGCCTTCACAAACGGGTACTGCAGCCCCACCAGGTCGGCCACCGCGAACGCCACACGCTTGTCTCCGTCACGCAGGACGATGGCGTGAATAAACAACGGGTCGTGTACGCTTTCTGCCTTGCGGTTCTGTCCATAGCCGGCAATCCAGACCGGTTTCTTTCCATTGACGTCGGGTGTGATGTCGACCGAGGCGAAGCCGACTTCCAAAGCAGCCGCAGGACTGGGGCACAAGGTCATCGCAACGGCTGCGATGGTGAGGCACAACAGAGAACGCAAGACCATGGTTTCAGGACTCCGAGTATCGGTTCAGATAGTTGGGGGGTGCCGTAGGTGGGGCGGTCCAGGTGGACCGTTCCTCTAAGGTGACTGGTCGCGGGCCCGCAATCAAGGACCGCCGGAAAGAATCTCGCCACGGGCTAAGCGGTGCTCATGACCCATGAGCCACCATTGATGGGGTGCGGTTAAAGCCAATTTTGCTCTCGCCCCAGGCTGCCACTGAGAGAAGCTGGGCCTCGCTCCAGGGCGGCCCAATTAATTGAATGCCCAGCGGAAGACCGGCGGAGGAAAGCTGGCAGGGGATCGTGACCGTTGGCAGGCCAGCATAGCTCCACGGGGAGTTGAAGCGAGGGTCGCCCGTCGTCTCGGGCGTGGGGGCTGGGGTAGTGGTCGAGGGGCAGAGCAATGCATCGAACTGACCTAACATTTCAATCAGATCGCGAGTGAACGACCGACGGTGATTCAACGCGGCCGCATAGTCTCGGGCATCGGCCTTGTTGCCCTCTTCAAGCAGTTGAGCGATTGCCGGCCCAAAGTGCTCACGCTGGGCTGGAAAGCGATCACGATGGTATTCAGCGGCTTCGACCTCCATCACCAACAAGTGATGGGCAGTGAAGGTGTCGAAATCGGAAGGGAGAGATGCATCGACCGTCTGCGCTCCAGCAGATTGAAGTTTTTCAACTGTGTTGCTAATGGAATCTCTAACTTCTGGGTCAGCGTGTTCCTGGAAAAACTCACCCAGGATGCCGAGTCGTGGAGGGGCGGCGTGATCGATCTGGTTGATCACGTCCGTCGCATCTCGTCGAGCACACCAAGGGTCACTCGCATCGGGGCCAGCGATTGCTTGGAGAATGAATGCCAGATCGTGTGCGTTGTGCGCGATCGGGCCCACGTGATCGAGATGAAAACTTACCGGCACCACGCCGGTTCTACTCACACGACCGAATGTTGGTTTGCAGCCAGCGACACCACAGTACGAAGCAGGTCTTGAAATCGATCCACCCGTTTGCGAGCCAAGTGATGCAAGGCACATCCCGACAGCGACAGCCGCCGCCGAGCCACTACTGGATCCGCCGGGAGTATGTTCGAGGTTCCAAGGGTTGCGAGTGGGTGGGGGGTCGAATGCTGCCCATTGGGTGGTTGCTGTCTTGCCGAGAATCACCGCGCCGGCTTCTCGCAAACGTTGGACGACTGTCGCATCGTGCTCAGCGGGCACACGTTCTCTTAGTGGTGAACCGGCCAATGTGGGCAGTCCCTGCACATCGATGATGTCTTTAATCCCTACCGGAATCCCATGCAGTGGACCACGGAGTTGGCCGCTCTTAAGTTCGCGGTCGCGCGCCGCGGCTTCTTGTCGAGCGTTGTCTGCATCGACCACAACCCACGCTTTTAGCGAGTATTCATGCTTATTAATTGTGTCCAGGCACTGCTCGACAAGATCGATCGACGACGTACGATAGTCGCGGAGCTGATTCGAGGCTTCAAGGATTGTAATAAGGCTCATGCTTTCTCACAGTGCCTGCTACAGAGCGATTGTCGTGCTGGGCTATCAAATCGAACGCCACCGATCGGCTTCGTATCAATGCTTACTTGTTCTAGGAGTTCGTTTTGGCAGAAAGAAAATCTTGTTGCTTAGTCCATTGGTTTAAGTCGTGGTAACGCATTCATCTGCGACGACCTTGGGCTCGATTTTCAAACTTTTTTAACACCATGCGTTGCAAAGGTGGGGCCGCTTCGACAAGATGGTCTCTGGTCGAGGCCAGAGGCCAACAGAACAGGTGGCGACCATTTTGCGATGGAACAGCAGAAATGTCTACGAAGTTCACCCTCGGCGACATTGTGGTCACAAATCGCGCTGCGGACGTTCTTGCCGCGGTCGATTGGTTGGTAGACACGCTTCTTGATCGGCACCAGTCGGGCGATTGGGGCGATGTCTCGGATGACCAAAAGCGCATCAACGACGATTGCATCGAACGGAGTTTCAGCATCGTCTCGAACTACACCACCCCCGACGGGCAAACGGTAACCGTCTTTACGATGGCCGACCGTTCGCGAACGCTCGTGCATCTTGCTCAGCCGACACACTCGCAGGCACGCGTGTGATCAGCAGCAATTGCAATCACGTTCGGTGTAGTGATTCATTCCCTTCAAATTACCTCACGGTCCTCTCGTCGATTGATCCCATCCTTTAGTTTGCCCTTACCCCCGGTCTGTTCAGTTCAGTCTCGTTGGGTAGAATCCAAGCCGTTGGAGGTTACCGCTGCGCACGAATTGCATCACGAGTGAGTTTGCATGAGCGAGAATACGAAGCCACGTCCGGAACAGATTCACGAGAGCGTCTACATCGCCCCGGGGGCGGTGGTTATTGGCGACGTCACGATTGGCGAAGAATCGAGCGTGTGGTTCAACGCCGTGCTGCGTGGTGATGTCGAGGCGATCAAAATCGGAAAGCAGACGAATATCCAAGACGGTTGTGTGCTACATGCCGATCCAGGGTTCCCCTGCACGCTCGGCGATGGCATCACCGTCGGTCACGCGGCCATCGTGCATGGCGCGACCGTTGGCGACAACGTCACGATTGGGATGAAGGCCGTCGTGATGAACGGTGCCACCGTCGGAGAAAATTCCATCGTGGCCGTAGGGGCGGTGGTGACCGAAGGGACTCAAATCCCACCCGGCTCGCTGGTGATTGGCATTCCTGGCAAGGTGAAGCGCGAACTCAGCTCTGAGCAGATAGAAATGAATCGCATGGGGGCGGCGCACTATGTCGAGAATGCCAAGGCGTTCGCCAAGAGCGATGCGGAAGACGCTTGAGAGTTTAGCCAGCGGCGTTGTTGCAAGCCTTAGCCAAAGAGCATCCTCCGCTTGAGCAACTTCCACAGCCGGTGCCTGTGCCGCAGTCGGGGCCACATCCCTCTTCCAAGGTTTGTGCAAACCGACGGAACTGGACCTGCGTTTCGTAGGTTTCGGTCAGCTCTTCGACGAGCTTGTCGAGTTCGGGAGTTTCCTCGCCTAAGAAGTAGAACACCAAAGCCTGTCCATCGAACAGCGGCTCCACGTCCACCAGGCTCACCGAGAGCCCTAGCTCGGTGATTCGAGCAGTGCACTTCTCGATTGCCGTTTCGCGGTTCTCCTGGAGGCGAGCGTCGAGCAACTCATCTTCCACCGTCATCGCCCGCAGGAGTGTCCCGTCGAGTGGCGACTCGTCTGAAGAGGAGGGCTCAACGGCCAGCAGCACTTCGCCGGTCTCGAGCCCCCGCGGGGTTTGCACCACCACACGAGCCCCTCGGGGATGTGCGTCATCGGCCGGTGATGAGAATCTGCCGACGTGGCCGAGGGTTCCAAAGCGAACGAGGTGGGTCTGTTGCATAAACGTGAAGGCCTCAAACGGAAAAGCCCGTCCTGTGCGGGGGGAATAGACCCTCAGAGACGGCTACCTATCAATTCTTACGGTCCGCCTCGGTTTTTCCAACCCATCGCTAGCGGAATGCGGCCACCGACAGGCTGCCTATCGGGCAAGATTTAAGGGCAATGCGTCTCGCTCCGCCGGGATCTCGCCCCATGGGACACTCTAGACGGCTTGCGTTAGAAGTTACCGCAACGATACTTATGGCTTACGCTCAGTGCCCCCATCTGGCTTTCAGCCTGAAATTGAGGTGGGGTACAGAACTACGACGAGATCTACTTGGGGAACCTGATGTCGCACGCAGCCACGGTGAATTCACCTTCCGTTGAAATGGGGCCTTCTCGCTGGAATGCCCTGGCCGAGCAGGTACTTGCTGGAACTCCGCTGAGCGACGAAGCGGCACTCAGCGTGCTGCGATGCCCCGACAACGAATTGCTCGACCTACTGGCGGCCGTATACCGCGTGCGACAAGCTCACTTTGGCAATCAGGTGCAGCTCTACTTCTTGATGAACGCCAAGAGCGGCTTGTGCCCTGAGGATTGCTCCTACTGCTCGCAGTCGAAAGTCTCCGACGCCGAGATTCCCAAGTACAACCTGCTGCAGCCCGAGAAGCTGATGGAAGGGGCCCGACTTGCGGCCGAACGGCAAGCCAAGACCTACTGCATCGTTATCTCAGCTCGAGGGCCAAACGAGCGCGAGATGAATGCCGTCTGCGATATCGTGCCGAAAATCAAGGAGAAGTACGGTCTCGACATTTGCGCCTGCTTGGGGCTGCTGAGCGACGAACAGGCCGAGCGATTAAAGGCGGCCGGAGTGAATCGGGTGAATCACAACTTGAATACCAGCGAAAAGCACTATGAGTCGATCTGCTCGACCCATACGTATGAAGATCGCAAGGCCACACTTCGCTCGGTTCGAAATGCGGGCATGGAGATGTGCAGCGGCGGCATCATTGGCATGGGCGAAGAAGACATCGATGTGGTTCGCATGGCTCGCGACCTGAGCGACCTGGGCGTGCAGTCGGTTCCAGTCAATTTCCTGAACCCCATCGACGGCACGCCTTTGGCTTCGAGCAACGGATTGAACCAGATCGCGATCAACAATCTGAACCCGCGGTACTGCTTGAAGGTGCTGGCAATGTTCCGGCTGATGCTTCCCGATCGTGAGATTCGGATTGCCGGCGGGCGCGAAATGCACCTTCGGAGTCTTCAACCACTAGGGCTGTACGCGGCGAACTCACTGTTCGTCGGCGATTACCTTACGACCAAGGGCCAGCCGGCAGACGATGATTATCGCATGCTGGAAGACCTGGGCTTTGAAGTCGTGGGTGGTAAGCCGGTGCCGGGCTCGTCATGCGAAGAGCCGACCACACCGTGCGAGCAATCTGCCGGCAAGTCTTGCTGCTCGTAGGAAACTATTTCCTGCTTCAGTTCGCCGTGAAGCGAATGTTCTCCGGTACCGAGCGGCGTGGTACGGTGCGGGGTAGGGGAGCGGGAATCTCTTCCATCTCGAGACGAACCCAGAGCGAGGTCTCGCCTTCATCGTCGCGCTGTACTTCGAATTGGCGTGACTCCACGCGACCGAAAACTTTTTGTCCCGTGCGTGGACCCTGCTCGGCCTTGAAGCAGACCGTGTCGCCGACACCGGGAACGGGCCGACGATACCAATCGAGAAACACCGCCTGGGCGACCCATTGGCCCATACCGTCGTGCATCTCGATGAAGACTCCCGAAGCCATTGCCTCGGGCAGCGCTGTCGTTTTTTCTTGCGTTCGCATGACTCGTTCCCTCGAGTAGTATTCGAACTTCCTTGATCTACCGCGCGAACATACCCGATTGCCGAGCGAAGGGCAAAGTGAACATTCGACGCGGGGGAAAGTTGTGTTACACAGACCGCCTTGGACTGTACGTGCCTCCATGTACGCACCATCGTATGCACGTCGTCCTCGGCATCGCAATCGATTTTCGGGGATTTACGAGAACGTTTTTTCTTTTGCAAGGAAATGGTTGACATTAGAAAAACGAATGGTGCCACCTGTGGGGAGTTGCATGCTTCGCCATTGGAACGTCGAAGCGTAATGCCAACATTGCGGGTGTGCGACAATGTGACACGCACCAAGTGGGGATGCTGCTCAAGCTGAGAGGCGAGGTGCCGTGCGCATTGGTTCATCGAGCATCGCCTGCACACGAGACTCGGCAAGCAGTGTTAACTCGCGGGCAACATCGCGACCGCCCGTTTCACTCACGATGATTGGATCGCCGAATGTGATCACTCCACGGCGTGTTCCGCGAATGCGAGCGGTAGGAAGATCGAGAAAGTCTTCCTCGAACTTGTCGACAGTTTCCGCCATCCGCTCGATCGTCGCCCGTTCCTCAACGTAGTCGCCAGGGTAGCTATAGAGCTGCACGACGAAGAATAAATCTTCTAAGTCGTGTGCGAGCTGTTCTTGTGCGGGATCATCTTCCGGCAACTCTCGTTGGCGGTTAATCGCCAACTGCCGAAGCTCCTTAACGCGTTGCGGCAGCGTCTCCGGAATCGATCGAACTTGGTGCTGCTCTTCGATCCGTTCAAGAATCTCGTTGGCCAAGGCATCAATTCGATCTGGCAGGGCTCCATTGCTTGCTCGCCCCACGTATTCGATCTCTTTCAGCTTCAGCATGCCTTCGGCGAAGCGGTAGATCCTAGCAGATAACGGTAGATCGGGACGGGGCCGCCAGTGAAGCCGCTGTTCAAGCAGCGACATCACGGCTTCTAATTCAGGCGTCGGATCTTTGAGATATCGATAGCGAATCGCACACGGGATCCACTGCACGGGCCGCCGACCTCGCTTAACCGCCGAGAGAACCATGGCGCCGGTTCCATCGCGGAAGGGGCGCACACGATCGTTCAGGTGATAAACGTCGCCTTCAGGAAAGACCGCCAGCGGATCGGAGGTTTCGGCCAACACGGTGACCGCCTGTCGGTAGGCTCGCATGTCGGAGCCTTCACGGTCGATGCTGAAACAACCGTGTTGGCGGTACAGCATCCGCTCCCACCGTTTGGCCATGGCGAACACCTGCCAGGCAGTCATTACATAGCACCGCCGTTTCAGCCGCACCAACGACTCCATCAATAGATAGGAGTCGGCGTGTCCGGGGTGGTTGGGAGTGATGAGCACTCCATGCTGTTGAGCAATCGCCGCCTGGGCACGCTCGAGACCCACGATCTCAGTTTCAGTAACCCGATACTGGTAGATCTGCTGCATTCGGCGCACGGGGGTCCACGCCTTCATCAACAATGGGTTGGGTCGCGGCGACCACCACCTTGGCGGTTTACTCCAAGGCTGACGGTTCATGCTCGATAAATCCCCCAACAGAGAATTGATGCGTCTGGCGAAGATTATAGGAAATCAAACTCACCTGCGCAAATCCATAATTGTGCAATTCGCGTGAAGGCGACTGATCTTGGATGTCCAGTTTTGCCAAAAACTCCAAGCATCCGCTTCGGAACCCACGAGGCGCTTGCGCGATCTTCACAATCGGACTGGAACGAGAGCAAAGGGCAGGGACAGTGCCTCGCGTGGCAGGAGGCTTCTCCTACGGGTAGACTCGTTGGATGTAAGTAGTTACTTCCCGCCGTTCTGCCGAATCTCTTTTGCGTCTATGAGCGACTCTTCCGCCAATCAGATCGCCGAATTGTTGGAAGCAGCGCGCCAGGGAGACGCCAAGCGGAAGGACGAACTATTCGAGGCTTGCCGAAATTATTTGGGTGTCGTGGCCCGAGCCCAGGTCGAGACGTGGATCCAGGGCAAGGTCGATGCCTCGGACATCGTCCAGCAGACGATGCTGGAAGCCCACCGCGACTTCGAGCGGTTTTCTGGCAATAACAAGGCCGAGTGGTTGGCCTGGCTGCGAAGAATCCTGGCCCACAACGCCGCCGACTTCGTGCGACACTACCGCGGAACCGCTAAGCGTCAGGAGCGTCGCGAAGTGCGGCTAGCCCCGCCGGTGGATCATTCTTCGATGGCTGGTTACGGCGATCCACCTGCGCCAGGAGAAAGCCCGAGTCAAGAAGCGATTCGCCACGATGATGAGCTAAAGCTGGCCACGGCCATGGCTGAACTTTCGCCGGATCACGCAGAGGTGATTATGCTCCGCAATCTGCAACGTCTTCCCTTCGACGAGGTTGCCGAACGGATGGGGCGCAGCCGTCCCGCGGTGCAGATGTTGTGGATGCGGGCCATCAAGAGCTTGCAAAAGATCATGGCGGAATGAAGATGAGGGTTTCTCACATTTCCCAGAGCACCGCATCTTGAATCAGCACGACGAACACCAGGACGATGCACTCGATCCAGAAATTCTGGATCAATTCGTTCGCCAAATTCAGGCGGGAGAAGCACCCGACCGCGACTCGGTGCTGGCCGAGCACCCGGAGGTTGCAGAATTGCTCGATTGTCTGGAAGGGCTCGAACGTTTGGCCCCCGAGCGTTCTGGGGTGACGTTCGATTCGGCGAGCAATGAACTCACCAGCCCGTTTCCTATGGGGAATCAGAGCGCTGTCTCCTCGTCGTTTTCTCAGTTTGATTCCGACCTGGGTGACTACGAGTTGCTCGAGATCATCGGCCGCGGCGGGATGGGCGTGGTGTTTCGTGCCCGGCAGAAAAAGTTGGACCGCACGGTGGCCGTGAAGATGATTCAGGCCCCGCATGGCGCCACCGACGAACAATTGCGACGGTTTCGCAACGAAACCAAGGCCGCGGCCGCGTTGTCGCACCCGAACATCATTCGCGTCTTCGATGCAGGCGAGAGCAATGGCCAGCTCTACTTCGCCATGCAATTGATTGAAGGCATGAGCCTTTCGGAGCGAATCCAGAAAGGCCCACTGGAGGAAGAAGAAGCGGTGCGGCTGGTCTGCAAAGTAGCGCGAGCCGTCCAGCACTTGCACGACAGCGGTATCATTCACCGCGACTTGAAGCCTTCGAACATTCTGTTGGATGATGAGGGCCGCCCCTACGTAACCGATTTCGGGCTGGCCAAACTCACGGAAGCCGACGGCGAGAAGACGCAGACCGGGGTGATTGCCGGCACCCCGAGCTACATGGCCCCCGAGCAAGCCTCTCAGGGGCGGCACCCGGTAGGGCCGGCGGTCGATGTCTACAGTTTGGGAGCAATCCTCTACGAATTATTGACCGGGCGACCTCCGTTTCGTGAAGACAGTCCACTGGACACCATTCTCCGTGTGCTCGACGGTGATCCGACTCCTCCCCGACGGATTCGTCCGCAGATTTCTGTCGACGTGGAAGATATCTGCCTGCGTTGTTTGGAGAAGTCGCCCCGCGATCGATATGCTTCGGCCGCGGATCTGGCTGACGACCTTCAACGGCACCTCAGGGGAGAACCGGTCGAGACCGACCCCTTGCGTGGCGTCGGTCGCATCTGGCGATGGGTGCGTCGCGAACCCGCGCTCGCGATGCGTGTGTTTGCCTTGCTGGGCTTCTTCCTTGTCCAACAATTCAACTACTACGTGTTTGGCTCATCGGACGAAACCTTTCACACCCGCGTGACCATAATCCTTCCCGTGTGGGTTTTGCTATCAATCGCTGCCCAGCGACTAATTCGGTACGAAAACTGGCGGATGATCGCCGGATTCGTCTGGGGCACGGTCGACACGGTGCTGCTGACGCTCGTGTTATGGATTGCCAACTCGGTGGCCAGCCCCTTAATTGTCGGCTACCCGTTGTTGATTGTCGGCTCCGGGCTGTGGTTTCGAGTTCGCTTGGTGTGGTATATGACGGCACTCTGCATCGCCTCGTATCTGCTGCTCGCCGCGAACTACCACGCGACCCGGGCCGATCTGGAAGCGATTTTCGACATCGGTCTCGATCATCACGTCATTTACTCGGTCGGGTATTTCGTGATTGGGGCGGTCACCGCCTACCAGGTATTCCGTGTCCGGTCGCTCAGTCATTTCTCTGGTGATGCGGACGCAAGCTGAGGCGGGTGCTTGCAGGGCTGTCGCTTCTGGCGGGATTTGCTTGGCCTGAGTCTCCAGGCCGCAAAATTTGCCTGTTTTATTTGGCCGCGTTTATCGGCAAATCCAACGTTTTCGAATTATTCCCAAGAATCGCCTCAACCCGACGGGGAATGGTGGCCGATAAGTCCGTCCAATCGACGGCCACAAGCTCGCCATAGGGAACAGACATGGTGCGTACAACGCTAGCAACGCTTTTTCTTGGTGTTTTGACTCTCAGCACAGCGGCGATGGCCTGGGGCCAATCGACCGACGAGCGCCCGACGGTGGGTGGCATTCTTGCCGATCGCCTCGGATTGCGACCGCTGATCGACAAGGCGCAATCGCCGACTGACGGTGGAAGCGACACTCGCTTTCAAAGCCGGCCAATGCTCTCCAAGCCTTCGCAGGTACGGCCAACCGAACGCGTCGCTCAGCAACTTCCTCTAAGCCCTCGAACCGGTTCAAACACGAACGGGGGCATCGGAAGCAATATGCTGCCGAGCAATCCATCGCGAAACGTTCCGACTGAAGCGCCTTCGCGCTCGAGCCGGCGTCGGTCGAGCTCAGACAACTCTCAATCTGCTGTGGAAACCGAATCGTTACCACGCGGCATCGACGCCCTGCGAGATTTGCCGGGCAGCAGCAACACGGCCGCAAGCCTGGATGACGAAGTAGCCGAGACTCGCGTCGAAACCATCACTGCCGACGTCGACGAAGAGCCTTCTGAAACCTATGTCTCAGACTCTAATTCGACTGCCGACCAACGCAATTCGTGGAAGAGCAGTTCGATACAAGATCGACTGTCGATCGCCCGTGAGATGAGTGCCGACACTCCTTCGACTGACGAATCCACGCAGAGCACTGCAGCGGTGCCCTCGACCAGTAGTGACGTGGCCACCGAGTCGGACTCCTCAGTGGGATACGATTCGCACGAACATGTGACCTCGCCAGAGAGCCCTGCTCCACGCGTGGCCGACCGCCGCGGAACAAGCCGTCCCAGCGAGACTCACGCCTCGACGGACGGACGCAATGTACTCATCACACGCAAGAGCCCTGTGCTGGCCGTGGAAACGATCGGTCCGAGTCGGGTTCTGATTGGCCGCGAAGCCAAGTACACCGTCATCCTGAGCAACGCGGGCAGCGTGGATGCCAGTGGTGTTGAGGTTTCGGTTTCTGTTCCTGAAGGCTGCGATGTGGTCGGCTTCGAGCCCTCCATCGGACAGACTCGCGAACCGCAGGTTCCGGAGAAGCGCGGCATTGTCTGGCTCCTCAGCCACTTGCCCCAAGGCGAGACGGCCGAATTGGATGTGAAGATCGTGCCTCGCGACAGCCGCCCCTTCGATCTGGGAGTGCAATGGACCTACTCCTCGCAAGCCACGCAAGCCGTGGTCGAAGTGCAAGAACCAAAGCTGACGATGAGCCTGTCTGGCCCCGATGAGGTCGCCTATGGCCGCCCGTCGACCTACAAGCTCACGCTGTCGAACCCTGGTACCGGCATGACCGAAGGTGTGATGGTTCGACTGCTGCCCACGATTGTGGGAGCCGAAAGCATGCCCAGCCATCGCGTGGGCAACCTGAAGCCTGGCGAATCGACTTCCATCGAGTTGGAATTGACCGCTCGCGAGTCGGGCAAACTGGCGATTAAGGCCGAAGCAACCGCCGAAGGTGGATTGCAAGCCGCCGTGGACGAAGAGGTTCTGGTTCGCAAGCCTGAGATTGCCCTGGAAGTGGTTGGCCCGCGATTTCTGTACGCTGGTACTCCTGCCACCTACACCGTGCGAGCCACGAACCCTGGCAACGCTGCGGCCAAGAACATTGCCATCGAAGCCTTGGTGCCGACCACGGGTGAATTCGTCTCGAGTACTCGGGGAGCCGAGTTCGACCAGGCCTCGCGTAAGGTGAGCTGGACGCTGGACACGCTTCCTCCGGGCAGCCATCGCGACTTTGAGTTCAAATGCATCCTGAAGAATGGTGGTGTGATCAAACAACAGGTTTCGGCCATCGGCGACGACGATGTTCGCGATCAGCAGGTCGTGACGACGCAAGTCGAAGCTCTGGCCGACTTGGTGCTCGATGTGGTCGATCCTCAGGGACCTGTACCGCTGTCGGACGACACCACCTATGAGGTTCACGTCCGCAACCGCGGAACCGACGCCGCACGTGGGATCCAAGTCGTGGCGTTCTTCTCCGAAGGGCTCGAGGCCGTCTCCGTCGATGGCGGTGCTCATGAGATCGGACCTGGACAAGTGCTGATGCGTCCGATCGATTCGCTCGACCCGGGCCGTGAGTTGGTCTTCAAGATGAAGGTGCGGGCCGATACTACCGGGAATCACATCTTCCGGGCGGAAGTGAAATGCGAATCGCTCGACTCGCGACTCGCGGTGGAAGAGACGACTCGCTTCTACGGTCAGCCTGCCACGGCGGCGGTCAATCAGCCGAATCAACCGGCCCGATTGATGGAAGAGCCGACCGAGGCGGTGCCGCAAGCGTCCGAGCCTCCTGCCCAGTACGACTACGAATAGTCGTACTCGGGTCATAAGGCGGCTACTTCTCAGAGCAGCCGTTGTAGTCGAATCCCTGGAGGCCGAGTTTCAAGCGAAACACGGCCTCCTTTGCTGCCACGGTGGTGTAGAGATAGCCGTCGTGGAAGTGCACATTTGTGGCCTGGCTTCCGCCGGCATCGTACTGACGGAGCAGCTCTCCGGTGGCCACATCAACCACGTTGACCACACCGCCGGTCCACATTCCGACATACAAGCGACCGTCTTCGTCGAAGATCAATCCGTCGGGGTCGTGCTGGCCACCGAGGATGTTCCCCTCTGTCTCGCTGGGGAACTCGATGAGAACTCGCTCGTTAGTCACCGTTCCGTCGGGCTGCAGGTCGTAGACCAGCATGCGGAAACGCTGACTTTCTGACAGGCAGAGATGCTTCTGATCGGGCGTAACGCCGATTCCGTTTGGAAAGGCCAGCCCATCCGCCAGAAGCGAAACTTCGGCCGTCTTGATGTCGTAGCGATAGATCGAGCCAACCGGGTTGTCGGCATCGGAGCCACCGGGGTCGCTGAAGAAAATGTTTCCTTCGCGATCGAGCGCGACGTCGTTGACGCTGTTGAAGTGCTTTCCATTGCAGCGGTCGGCCAGCACTTCGGCACTTTTTCCGTCAGCGGCAATCCTCAACAACCTGCCTGCGCCCGAGTCGCTGGCGATCAACCGGCCTTCGCGATCGACCTTCAGCCCGTTGGCTTGTGGCTTTCGCACTTCAACCGGAACCAACTCGCGCAGATTGCAGAAGACGCTAGCGGTGCCGTCAGGCGTGATGCGGCCAATGTTGCCGTTGCCGCGGTAGTTCACCACGTACAGGTTGCCGTCGCAATCGAACGCAGGGCCTTCGGCGAACTCAAACCCGGTGGCGTACAACTCGGGCTCGACCGAGTGACTCGGCGGCAAATCATCGGCTTTGGCGAGCGTGGCCGCAAGGCAAATGGGTAGACACCACACTGTATAGAAGTATCGATGGGCGTTCAGCGGAACACCTCCTCTGATAAGTCAAATTGGGCTGCTCGTGTGCTGGTCCATCCCTGAGTTCACATGGACCGACCGTGGGTTGCTGCAGCGATGATAGCTAAGTGTCACGAGAGTACGTCCTGGCCTCCCTCGCTGGCAAGAGACTGAGGGGCAGGTTTTTTAAGAGAATTGCCAACCATTCTGCTGCCAGGAATGGGGCGTAAGTCCTTTGTGAATAAGGGAATGGGGCGATCCTTGATTGTGTTAAACTCGCATTCAGTCGTCCACGGCATCCCTCTATAATCTCGCCCCGCACCGGCCGACCCCGCTTTCGGCTGGCTGCCAGGTACCGGAACGAAATTCTGTGAGACGAGGCCTCAGAGCGATGGACGTACTTCCCCGCGATCGCCGACCGACTCAGCCAATCAGTTGCTTCCTGCATCCTACATCATGTGTTGTCATTGCAGCCGCCTGTCTTGTACTGAGTGGCTGTGGGACGACTCGATCGACAGACAGCGCGCGAACGGCCACCGAACAGTTGTTGATCACCGACGCGATCGACGATGCGGTGGCTCAGTTGAATCTCGATGTACTCTCTGGCAGAGAGGTTTACTTCGATTCGCAGTACCTCGAAGGCGCCGTCGACAAGCACTACATGGTTAGTTCGCTCCGACAGCATCTGCTGGCCAGCGGGTGCATCTTAAAAGAGAGTCGCGATGATGCGACCTACGTGGTCGAAGCCCGCTCGGGTGCGGTGGGCACCGACCGTCACGACGTGATGATTGGTGTTCCGAGTGTGAATGTGCCCACTTTCTTGCCGTCCCCCGTCGCGTTGCCGGCCAGCATTCCAGAGATTCCGCTAGCCAAGAACACAAAACAGCGCGGCGTCGTCAAGTTGGCTGTGTTCGCGTATAACCGCGAAACAGGGCGTCGTGTCTGGCAGTCGGGCATCGAACCGGTTTCGAGTTTCGCCAAGGACAGTTGGGTCCTGGGCGCAGGGCCGTTCCGCAAGAGCACGATTAATGATGGTACTTCGTTTGTCGGCGATTCGATTCCGATTATCGGAGAGGAAGAGCTTGACGAAAACCAGGAAAAGGTTGCCTTAACCCGCGAGCGGCTGTTCCGTGACGGGCTCGCTGTACCGGCCGCTGAAGCCCAGACTCAGTTGGCAACACATGTTTCAGATATTCCCGCTGAAGTAGAATCACCCGCCGGAGAGACCTCCCCGGCACCAGTGTCTGATCCGGAAGTTGCAGCGAATACCCCGCCGGCAACGCTCCCGGAAAACGCGGCAGCAGTGCCAATTGCATCGTCGTCGGTGTACGCACTTCCTTCGGCAGATGCGAAGCTGCCTGCCGATACTATGCCGCAGGTTTCCGAGCTGAGCCTGCCGCCCCAAGCGATTGTGCAATCGAGCACGGTTTCCGTTTCAGGGGTTGATGCACGATTCGCCCCTCGGCCGTCGGTTCCCACGGAGGCACCAGTGGAGGTCGTACCGACTGAGCAATTACCACCTGCCGAGCACGATCAGCAGGTGGCCGATTCAAAAAGTCCGTTAGAAAAGCTGTGGCCCGGCTATTGGTTCAAACGGAACCACTCCACGGGCGGTCAGGCCGCAGACTAGGCGGGCCAGGCCGAGCTGAAATGCGGTTGTCTTCGCAACAGAGCATGGCTCTCGCTAGTCAAGCTTGCTCTCATCCACCGGTTCGAACACCAAGGGGCGTTCAGAACGGGGGTCAACGATGCGAATGGACGTCTTTCCACTGAGGACGTCGTCGAGCACGCGACCGACCACTTCGGCTCGCCACCCCTGTGTGAGTGAGGGCGGAGCGTCGTTGCGGCGACGTTCACCGAGGCGATCGGCAATCAGGTCGCGGACGTCTTCAACAGTGCCAACGAGCGTGGGGGCAATCTGGGCTTGGCGGCTGATGCTACCCAGGGCAGTGGCCAAAAACTGGCCGAGAGTGACCGATTGCTGATTCGTCTCACGCCGCTGAGGACGAGGGCAATCTTTGTCGGGCAGGTCCAGGGCCTTTTGGATGCTGGCCGAAATTCCCGGCATCATGGCTTGCAGCCCACCGCGATCCAATCCGCGAATGGCTTTGATCTGCTTCACATCGGCGTCGCGTCTCCGGGCAAGTTCCACGATGAGATCGTCACGAAGCACTCGCCGGGGTGGGCGATTCAGCCGGCAAGCTTCCTGATCGCGCCAGAGCCACAACTCCCGAACAATGGCCAGGCTGCGGGGGGAAAGCCCAGAACTTCCCGACACCCTTCGCCAGCGGGAGTTGCTGCGCGACTCTTCGACCGATTCTTGCCAGCGATCCATCTCGGCGGTTAGCCAGTCGGTGCGACCGAGTTTTTCGAGGCGTTGGCCCAGCGCATCGCGGATCGCTTTGAGGTATCGAACATCGTCGACGGCGTATTGCAGTTGCCGCTTCGACAGCGGGCGGCGTCGCCAATCGGTTCGAGTTTCGGCCTTGTGGGGTTTTTTGCCGATCACACGTTCGGTGAGGTTGCCGTACCCCGCCGGATACTCGTAGCCGACCAAGCCTGCGGCCAGTTGCACGTCAAAAAGGTTCGCCGGTCCTTTGCCTTGGGAATCGAGGCAAAAGCAGAGTTCCTCACGCCCGGCATGCACCAGCGTTTCGTGCCCGGGTTGAACCAGAACCTCCCAGAACAGGTCGATATTGTCGATTTCGAGTGGGTCGATCACAACCAGCTGATCTTCCGCCGCAATCTGGATCAGGCACAGCTCGGGACGGTAGGTGTTCTCTGAAACGAACTCCGTGTCGAACGCAATCGACTTGGCTCCAGAAAGCTCCTTGCAATACCGTTTAAGCTGGGCGTCGGTGGTGATCAGTTCGTAATTCACGCGGGCCACTGCACGAAGATGAGTTAGTCGGAGACAGGAGCGGCATTTTATCGCACCAAACCCGAGGTGGCTAGTTGGAGCGACTTTCCCGCCGATGAGAGTTTGATTCTTGCGGCCGTGTCATGCTCCGCAGCGGTGCTCTGTGCTAAACTTCGCCCCTCGGCCACAATTCACGAGACGCCGCGGGGAAAGCGGACTCTGGAGTCAATCTGACGGGAATCGAGTCGTGACAAAGTTGCTAGTCAGCATTCGGGATGCCTCCGAAGCCCTTACGGCGGTGGCGGAAGGAGTCGATCTCATCGATATCAAAGAACCCCTCAGGGGTTCGCTGGGGGCGGCCAGCGAAGATGTCGTCTCAGAAGTGATCGAAGCGGTGGCCGGCCGAGTTCCGCTGAGCATGGCCTGTGGCGAGTTGTTGGATGTTGGCAGCGAGCAGCGTCACTGGTCATCAGGTCACGCAGAAGCCATTCGCTTTGCCAAGCTAGGGCTGGCCGGCTGTGGTACGCGTGAAGACTGGCCCAAGCGTTGGCAGGCCGCCATAGCTGAGTGGCCTGAGCGTGTTTCCCCGGTGGCCGTGGTTTATGCCGACTGGCAAACATGTGGGGCGCCGGCTCCCGAGGAGGTGGTGCAGGTCGCCGGAAGATTGGGATGCAGGGCAGTTTTGGTCGATACGTTTGACAAGTCGGCCGGGAATCTACTAGTGCATCTATCCATGGATGAACTGACAACCCTGGGTTCACAAGTTCGCGAACGCGGGCTCCTGTATGTTCTGGCTGGTTCACTTGATGTGGAGACCATCGAGACGGTCGCTTCATTTCAGCCCAATTATGTGGCGGTGCGCGGGGCGGTTTGCCGGGGCTCTCGCGAAGGCAAAATCGATCCGGAGAAAGTGCGGCAAATCAAAGCGGTGCTGAACGCAGCGAACATCGAGCAGATAAACGCCTGAAGCAGACCACCGACCGCAGTGGCTTTCTATTCGTCGTTCTTCGTGAGCGGACGCAGTTCCAGGCGGCGTACGAACACTTCGGCACCCTCGCTCTGCATCAATATCTTTCCTTCAGAGGGGAACGCGGCGAAGCCTTCGTTCACGATTTGCCCATTCACTTTGGCTACGATGTGGTCTCCGTCGCAAATCACATCGGCACGCGTCCATTCGCCCAAGGGGCTTTCGACATCGTCTTTGCCACGGAAGCCGACGGTGTCGCTCCAGTCGGGGTCGCGTCCGTACCAATTGATGCGACCGCTGCTGAAGGTGCGGCGGTTGCCGCCCTTGTGCCAGACGTACTCACCGTCGCGATCCTGGGTCACTTCGCAGGTTAACGACATGGGGACCGAAGAACCGTCTGCATATTTGCCGCCGACCACGAGTATGTCGCCGACGCCGCCTTCGATGATCTGGTACTCAATTGAGGCCATCCATGTGCCTTGGTTGCCGTCGGGCCCCACACAGTGGACGAGGATTCCCGAATCTCGTGCGCGGTGGATACGTGGTTCCCAGGTCTTCTCGCCAAGTTTGAACTCGGCTACCAGGTGATAGTCACGATAGGCTGCTTTCGTAGCCAGGTAACCGTAGGCTTCCCCCGAGATTCGCAAGATTCCGTCGGTCACTGTGAACACGTCTTTGGGATCTTCGTCGCCCGAGTCCTTCAAGTAGACGTAGAGCCCGTCTAGGTTCTCTCCGTTGAAGAGTTGAATGACCTCGTCTTTAGGCGAGAGAACCGGCGGTTCCTCTGCCAGCGATTCGCGAAGACTCCAGGCCAGGCTTAAGGCGGAGAGGGTGAAAGCAAGGAGTTTTCGCGTATGAGTCATGCAATTAGGTCTCCGAAGTCGAATCGATGGCATGTCTGGGAGTGAAGGTGGAGTTCATCTACACAAACGAGGTGTATGCCGCGTCAATCATCATTGAACATCTGATTGCCCGGCCGACGAGGGCGGTCCTCAGTCGAATCGGCAAATGGCCCTCGCCGCACCTCGCCACGACCACGAGTGGGCCAGTTCTGTCCATTCCTCTGATACTCCAGCAGCTTGAAGGTGACCGCAGCGATGAACTGCCCCATCTTGTTTTGCTCTTCAGGGGTCGATCGCTGCTGCCACTGGGCAAATTGATCCT